CTTTAAATAGTTTTTCATAGTGAAAGATTCAGGATACGGATGAGGACTACATCACGGGCGGAGAGACATAGAGGTAAAATACAGTAAATGTATGTAATTTCGGTTGTGAGGGGGCTGTGAAATGCACTCTACGCCCGCGTTTTAGCTTTTTTTCAAAACACACCTTTTAAACACAAGCTAAGCTTTGTTATTATTTATCCTTCCAGTTTGTTGTATCACAAAGCAATCGTACACTARATCGAGGCTAATGAGGATGGATTTCTATCCACCAAACTCATCATTACGTAGTGACGAACACCAAGTTTAAGACAAAGTTGGCAATCATTTTTCCTCGATAAAATACCTTCATGTCTGAAATGAAATCTATCATAAAAACTTAGAAATATATCCGCATTTTGTAAAATAGGTTGTAACCACAGAAAAACTAAATAGAGTTTGTTTGGTGCTCATTTTTGATTGAACGCCTTCTTCAAATGACCATATTTAACGGAATCCTTGACCATATTTAAGAGTATCCTTTTTTCAAAGGACCACTGATAATTATCCGGAATTATAAATGTCGTATTTTAAAATTGATTACTTAAATTGACCCTGTTTAAGTTATTTTGATGGTAATGTTAGACTCTCTACCATGTTTTGGAGCTTAAATACTACTTGTCGTAAAGGAAATGATCAAACGTGTCAACCCACAAGCCACTTAGACGATATCAGCATTTTGTAAAAAAGGTTTGTAACAACAAAAAGACTAAGTTGAGTTTGTTTGGTGCTCATTCTTGATTGGACGCCTTTAACAATGATCTTTTCATATGCTTTAAGTTTTGGGAATTAAAAAAGTGGCTTTAAGTAGCTTTTCATAGTCAAAGATTCAGGATACGGATGAGGACTACATCACGGGCGGAGAGACATAGAGGTAAAGTACAGTAAATGTATGTAAAATGGGCTGTGAGGGGTCTGTGAAATGCCCTCTACGCCCGTGATATAGCTTTTTTTTCGAATCACACTATTCAATCACAAGCCAAGCCCTGTTACTCTTTAACCTTCCAGTTTGTTGTATCACGAAGCAATCGTAGACGAACCCGAAGCTAATGAGGATGGATTTCTAACCACCAAACTCATAGTGGACAAAACGACGAACAACACTGAAGTTTAAGACAAATTCAGGGACATTTTATCTCAATAATAGACATTCATGTCTGAAGTTAAATCATGATAAAAGCCTAACAGTGTATCCGGATTTCGTAAAATAGGTGTGCTAAGACGAAAAGACTATAAATTGAGTGTGTTTGGTGCTCATTCTTGATTTAATGCCTTTACTGACAATCAAACATAAGCAGAGCGGAATGGAACGTTAAATCAATAGCCAAGAATACAGTTGAAGATCCCGTTAGTAAATTTATATTTTCAGTTAAAATATTCATTCGCCGTATACATTAATTAAACTTATCTTTTTTGGTGGGGATTTTATGGAGTATAACGAAGCGACAGTCGGCCAATTATTGTAAAAAATATCATGATCTTATGATTATGATTATGATATATAAGCCCATCGCTGTTCGTCCTCATCCACTTCTATTATGGGACGCATGAAATGTGGCTTTTACGACAGTGACGAAACTAAAGTCACGACGGAAAAAATGTGCGCGTTATTTCGATCRCTATGAAAATCAAAAGTACGACACATTATCTCAGGATTAAACTGCAAATTACTCTAAGCGTACGGTTCAGATGAGGTATATTCCTTGTTCAGTGAAGGATACTCCTTATAAATCAGGTAAAGGGATACTTCTAGTTCAAGTAAGGGATCAGTCCTAGTTCTATATCAAAATATTTGATTCCCTTCTCTTCTTTGCTGTGCTATAATCGAATCTACACCAGGATATTGTCCACACACCCTTAAGAATACGGCACGATACAACTGTACCTAGTTTAGTACGGACTTAATTAGTTTTATCCGCTCAAACAAGCTCAAAAGTTGCGCGTGGAAAAAATATATTTCAGCTTTTTGTATCTGAGCGAAATCGAGTCCAGGACTGGATGAATCTGTCCCTTGAGTTTTTCACATTCACACAGAATGTCCTTTTTATCATTTTTTCAAACTACAAGTGTTAGGAATTGAGAAAATGGAAACTAGATGGGTTTCAAAGCGAAGGCTAAGATACATACGGATGAGTACTACATCCCGGGCGGAGAGAGCGAGAGGTAAAATGCAGTAAATGTATGTAAATTGGGCTGTGAGGGGCCCGTGAAAAGCACTCTACGCCCGTGTTATAGTTTTTACCACAAAACACACCAATCTATCACAAGCAAAGCCCTGTTATTCTTCATCGTTCCAGTTTGTTGAATCAGGAAGCAATCTTACATTAAACCAAGACAAATGTTGATGGATTTCTAACCGCTAAACTCATCAAGGACAAAGCGACGAACGACAAATTGAAGACGAAGTTGGAGGCATTTTATCACGATAATAGACATTCATGTCTGAAGTGAAATCGATGATAAAAGCTTAAAAATATATCCGCATTTTGTACAATAGGTGTGTAACCACATAAAGACAAAATTGAGTTTGTTTGGTGCTCATTCTTGAAAAAACGATACTCTTAAATGTGGTGATTTGAAGAAAGGATACCCTTAAATATGTTCAAGGATACCCTTTAATATGGTCATTTGAAAAAAGGACACCTGTAGCGAAAAATGTAATTTGTGCCAAGCGAGGCACGAGATTTGCACAAATGGTTATTTTGCGGGCACGGGAGCTTGTTAGCTCGTGCGTAGTTAGCGTCGGGTCCCTTGTGGGTAGGATTAGTATAAGAAGTGTCTAGAATGTGTGAGAGTTCATCTACGGTCAGCCTCGCCGGTTTCTATCGCCTTAGTTTCGACTTATGCTTATATTAGCTTGCTTGTGACATTTATTCGTACAGTTTGCCTTAAAACCCCAAAGGTTGCATCTTAGCATGGTTGGGGGTACACGTTCCCCTTTTTTCCACACTGTGGTTTTGGGGTATTTCGTGACCGGCTTTGATGCTTAGGTTTATTTTCTATACTATTAATTGTAATTATTTCTGCTTTTACCTTTAGTGCATTGTGGACTTGATTAATACATTCATACTTATTGTGCGGTTGTAATTTAC